TTTAATCGATAAACATTTTTATCGACATATTATTTCATACCAAAAAATCAATACAATTTGAAAACATCTTCAAATGCCTGTTAAATGATTAAAATACTGAATACTTTTAGAATATATATATAATATATAAGATAATTTTTAACTGTTGGTAAAGTAATGTATGAGGAATGCTGTATTATATTTTCAAGTAATTCTACTAGCAAAAMATTTAATTTAATTTTACATAAATCGAAAAAAACTAAACATTGCTTTTCAAAAAAACATTTCAAATGTCTACGAATAGCACAGAAATATCCTAAATATATTGAAGTTACTTTATATCAAATAAAGTATAGGTAGGTATGCTAATTTACATATTTTTTTAAAAGTTCAAGTTCTCACAGTTATTAATTTTCAAGTCACAACAAATAAACAAAATAAACTTTGTCGGAACTGGATTGATTTTGAGTGGGATTCCGGGCTTAGCTTAAATTTTTTTTCTCAATTWTTTTGACAAGTTTAAGTAGGTGTTCAGAATTTTTTCTTTTTGGATCTCAAAGTACTAAATAGATATTTTAATTTAGCACTAGAAATTTAAATCTTTTTTACTACTATAAAACGTGACGTACTGATGTCTCACGTAAAACACATCATTGTAAAATCAAAACGCTTCTTTTAGCATCTATAAAACAAAGATTATACAAACAATATGTGTAGGAATTTCCAGTCRAATAATATTAAAATATCGGTTTATTTGGAAAATGGTTTCAAATCAATATATGTAAGGATGAGAGAAATTTAAAGAGCCGACAATGYGAACCGACACCGACCAAGTGAGGTGTTTACTAACTGTGGGGGCGATCTACATTGACCTTATAAAGTGGTACGTATGCGCCTTGACAGCAACTACGTAGTTTACAGACGGAGTGTTACCGGTGACCTGCGGCGATTGCACGCAATCGAAATATATTATTATTATTATTATTATATAATGAGAAAAAAAATAATAATAAATAACAAAAACGTATGGTCAGACACTCAAACATGTTTGGTTTCTTGCTTATGGCAGCGACATCGACGTCGGCGAATACCGTAATCGGAACAGTCATCAAAAAGTATGCAATAATAATAATAATAATAATATAGGCGTGTTCGACTACGTCTCATCACGGTGTATATTATTTTAATACGAATAGCAATAATAATAACAATATGATGGTAGGGGTTGCTCGTGCGGAAAGTCCCTCGTCGACGTATTAGCTACGGCCGCCGTCCAATGACTCACATTCGCGTATTTATATTTCTTTATGTTTACGAGTCGGGACGCGATCAACACACGCGCGCAGTCATATCTTACACGGTGACCAAAGTAGGCGAACAGTGCGCGTGAGAGACAGAAAATCGCAGCGATCGAATTTYATACGATTTCGTTGTTTATTAGGTACGCTATATCGATTTTTATTTCGTCGATATCACAATGTTATTATTATTGGACGGACGAACTTACCTACTTCCYGTGCGATGGTCATTCGACGCAGCTGCAGTTGACACGTGAGTGGTGTGAATAACATTATACAGTGTTTGTTGAGAAGATAATAATATTATTATTATTATAAAGTAAAAATAATTTACATTTTTTCAGCGTGCGTTTTTGTTTGTACGCTTGTTTTTCTTCTTTTTTTTAAAAAATAGCCCTCGTGTCCGACAATCTCTATCACGTTCGTTCCGAGGGGAACGTATCGATACGACCATAATTGGTCACGATGACCCTCAGCACTGTGCGTTTCGCGTGACGCCAAAAGGCCCAGAGTTCTGTGCTACTCTTTGAATTGTAAATAGACTTATTTTGACAATATTATTATAAATAATACAATAATCGTAATATCATATTAAACGTTTTCGTGCGAGTAAATCAAGTAAAAATGATTAATTTCCTGTTGACGTGCGACACGTACTCTGTCGCGGTGACCGCACTGCTGGTGATCGTGCTTCTGTACTGGGTGTTTGAAGTGCACTATTTTGCGCGGACCCTGTGGTGTGCGACCATGTGCCGGATCATGAAGAAGTACGTTCACATACTGGATACCACTTCGTACTCTTCGGCATGTCTGACCACGGACGTGGACTTCCTGCTGTTTCACATGAACAACTCGAGGTATCTGCGGGAAGTGGACTTTGCCCGGACAGAGTTCTACACGCGCACTGGACTGTGGGCGGCAATCCGGGAGAAGGGCGGGCTTCCCGTGCAGGGTGGCACCAGCATCCGGTACCGGAAGTTCATTCGGACGTTCAGCCTGTACAGCATATCGTCCAGGATCATTTATTGGGACCGGGAATCGATTTACATGGAGCACCGATTTGTGAGCCGCGGTGATGACTTTGTCAACGCCATCGTGCACTGCCGGCAGAGGGTGATCAACTGCGACGTCGAGGTGCTGATGGGTGAGTTGCTGGCTAAGGCTGCCAAGGAGAGTCCCGGTGACCTTCAGGAAGCWCCCCGGATGAAGCCCGAGTGCCCGTTGGAGATCCACCATTGGATTCAGGCGAACCTTGTGTCCAGTGCCAATCTGCGCAACGGAAATTGATGGAGATCGCGTCTTCCCAACAATCCCCACCATCATTCCTACCCCGCCCAA